AAACGTTTGGCGTTGTCTGTGAGACTCAAGAGGGGTACGTTGTCAGCACTACGACGCTTCCACCGACTGTGGAGATTTCGTGGGTGCATAAGCGTTGGTACGTTATCTTGATTGCAATATTGGTGCCGGTTATTGTTGCTGTCGCGATAATCACTGTCTGCTTCTGCCGTTCTTGCGGTGGCCACGATGAATCGAAGTGGGTGGTGCACATGGTCTTGCGGGAGGTGAACGGTGAGCCCCTTCATCCAATTGACGGGGATGGTGGAATCTACAACGATGACAGCCCGATGATGCGCTATTCAACGTTGGGTGATGGGGTGCCCATGACTGCTCCCTCTGGATACGAAAACGTTGAGGTCCCTAGGGTGATAAAGAATCAAGAAACCACTGTGTACGATGACGGGGATGTGCTTTAGGTTTTTTTTGTGTTTACCCCTCTCTGCCGCATTGTGTGTATGTGTACACGTGTCTCTTGCAGTTCCTGCATGTGTGCCCACTATTTTTGATTTTGAAAAAGACGAGATGTGTGGGGTAATGCAGTGGCTGCTGGGAGCAAGGAAGCACCGTGCGGAAAGGGCGGATCAAAAGGCATGATTTGTTTCCACCACTCTTTGTTTTTGTTTTTGTTATTTTTATTTTTCCCTCCTCTCGGTGTAGGACTGCGTGCGTGTAGGCGGCGTGCCCTTTTTCTCGCCAGCATCTCATCTTTTTCCCTATTTACGCTGGCGGCAAGCCTGCTGTGGGAGGAAAAGGAAGGAAGGAAGGTGGAGGAGAAATGTGTCATTGTGAATGTGTACAATAAGTCGTTAAAACTGTGCCATTAGAATGGGGAGAGTATTTTTTTTCTTTTTTTTTTTTTATTTCATTATTTATTTTACTCCGAAACATGTGGGAAGAATGTGCGTCACGATGAGGCCGAGCAGATGATAAAGTGCATTAATTAGCCGCCGTTTATTTAGTTATTGATGAATTGAACTTTTTTCGATGGTACCGCAATTAGAATTGGTGGGTGCGGTTTTATTATTATCATTATTTTTTTTATTTATTTATTTTTTTTTTTACTTTTTTTTTTTCTGTTTTGGGGGCCTCTGAAGAGAATGTCTCGAGGTGCGATGGCTATCTAATTGAATATATATTTCCTGATAAACCGAATATATCCCTGTATGACTCCTTCCCAATTTTGTGATTTTTTGGCTGACCGCGACCGAAGGAATCAAGAAACCATTCACGCCTAGATGACACATAAATATATATATGTGTATTTGTTGTTGTCACAGCCGCAACCGATTCCTGCAGGTTGGTATAAAGAAATGGCAGTGGCCTCCTTCATACGACGACGGAGTGGAGCCGCATCGGCACCCGCATGTTGGGCTTTGTACGCCACCATGGCGATATTCACGTGCAGTTTATTTTTATTGGTGGGCATGGGCCGTCGGTGCAAACAAAAAAGTCTTGGGCCTCATTTCAGGAACCATCGCCGAGTACTGGGAGAACTCGAGCCTTACAGTACTTATTGCGAATCTCCGGGCACCTCAAGTGACAACTTTCGAGACTCAATTGCTCCTTCCCATCGCGTAGAGACGGCCCGGGAGTTGGGGGTCCGGCACTGGCTTATTACGGCCGAAAGAGAGCGGCTGAGCAATGACTGCGCCAACGCCGTCGCGGACGTGCAGAATCGGAATGCTCAGCTTTACTCGCACGTGGAAGAGGCGCATAATGACTTGTCGGCACGCGAATCTCACATTGCGGTGGCCAGTGGCCTTCTTGCGGGACGCGGGGATGCCGTGTCAAGGAGAAGCGCCCACCTCTCCGAGAGGGCCGCCAGATGAACCCCCACTCACGCATGCCCGAGGATGGCGGAAATGCGCAGCCAAATGAAACGCATCGTTTGATGGTTGGGGCGGCAGGCCAACGCCCAAACGTCTCAGGCCAATTTGGGAAAAGCACATCTCCCTCACTCGTTGCCTTTGCCTTCCTGCACCTCCCCTTGGAAGATGGCTGCGGTGCAGAAGAAGAGGAACAGAATTTTCTCGCATTCGACGTCACCACTTGGGCCACACGTATACGGAATGAGGGCATCTCCGGAGCCGTTGTCGACCTCTGGGGCGCATACAATTATTATTGGCATCAGGCAGACGATCGGGTTCAACTCGCTCTTGACAGTTTGGCGTCGTGGATGCACGCACTGGAGATGGATCGGGATCCCGCCGATCGTTTCACGGATTTGGGCAGGATTTTACTGCAGGTCTTCTGGTTGCAGATGATGGTAACAACCGCCAACCCCGGCATCACGATCTCCACGCTTTGCGCCCGCCTGCACATGGCTGTCCATGAGGCTGAAACCTGCGCGAGAGCGACTAAGCCTCTCGCGTAACGACGAGCAACCCAACAAAAGCAACGATCATTACGGTGCCAATTGTGTCACACTTAAGGACCTGACGCATCGACATGCAACGCGCGCACCGCAACCAGAAGGAATTACTCGCAGCACTGGCGGCCGTCAAAAAACGGCTAAGTAGCTGCCCGTCGTTTATGAGGGCGGAGGACGGCAGCCCCAACACTCCGCACAGGTGTCGCACCGCGCAGCCGACGCCTTATCCGATCTTTTAAATTGCTTGACGCAGTCGACGAGAAGGGAAAAGGAGCTTATCCACCAACGACGCTCGACTGTGGTACGACGAATCACCGACATCCCCGCTTTGGGCCAGCTATATGAGGAGAGCGAAGGAGGTCGCTCGAGAGATGTGGGTGCCGCCAACGTGGGAGCGGGGAATGTCCCTAGCGGGGCATGTCAGCTTGCGTGGATAACGGCGAGTCGTTGGTCCGAGGTTGCGGCCCTGACTCCCAACAATTTCACAATGGAGCCGGACGGGACCATAATTTTGGATCGGTCCGTGGCGCGAAAGACGGCGAGGGCGGATCCCCACCGCGCCTCGCGGTTCGTCAGGATACGAGGGCAGGAAGCGTTTGTCATTATAAAGTTATGCTGGACACTTCAACACAACGAAGAGCTCACGAATCTTGCGACCGCCCAAGTCGAACGAGCTC